TTGTTGGAAATCACAATTCGATGGAGGCGCCATTTATTAGCAATTTGAATTTCATTTTCATTAGCAAATGGACTAAGTCTAAATTCTACTTTACTATTTATTTGCTTCAGATTTGATGTTGTCATGTTTGTTTGTGAGAAGTAAACGATGTCATCTCCAAAGAAAAGAGGCAAGAGGAAGGTTATTTGTTTGGGAGTAGGTAGGACCTTATGAAGCAAAATGACATGTGCTCATGTTGTATGAGAGAGAACCAAGAGATGAGGCAGGGCTGCAACTTGGGTGGACTTGAGTTGAGCATTAGCCAAAATTTTGAATCAGCCCGGCCTGGGCCTGATGCTTTGTAAATTTTTTAGGTTTTGCTTGTTTGCAATACAAATGCTGAATTAATGTATTTATGTATTGGGGTTCGCGTTTGTGAGTGTTTTGACATATAAAAAAATGATGGTTATCATATAAAAAATGTATTTTTTTGATATTTTTATACTCTGAAAAGAGAGTATTGTATTATTGTACCTATTTTTTGGATACAATTTTGTATTATTTTGATAATCAATTTTTTAACAAAAGTTAAGACATTGAAGCATTTAATGATAGAACCCACACTAAGCACCCATTTCAAACAAACAACATGAATACAAAAATGATTTAAAATCTTAACCATAAAAGTAAATAAGAATAAAAGTCATAATAACAAACAAATGGATGTAAAAGTAAAATTGAATCAGGTGCAAAATTCTTATCGACTCAGCAGTGGTAAAGTCGGTGCATAATGCCATTAGATAGTATTGTTTTATCATCTCGGGAAATTATTTGTCGTTGATGGGGTAAATATCATGTCCGGAGCGAGCATGTTGAGGTGTTACGAGAGGTATGTGTTAAGTCTCTAGTGTTACTATTGTTGTAGACCAAACAAAGAGTTGTAATAGGCCCAAAAGTTATGCTACCCAGACTTGTAAGTTGTGATCAGGTCTAGAACCAAGGTCATAGGGTCATAGCTGGAGGTGTCAATCCCATCAGAATCCAAATCATTTGAACGGGTTGGACGGAACAATAAGACCATCCAAACTTATGATCCAAAGTATTTATTAGATTGGATTGGTAATGAATATTGAGGTGTAGGTTTGGCTTGGGCCTAATCTAAATTAAAATCAATTTGAAAAGACTGGATGATCCAGATATTGAATTGGATCAGTCCAGAATGGTCCAAAGCATTTATCAGATTGAATTAGACCTGGTCCATTTAGTGGAATCATATTGGACCGAGTCAGGTTGGACCAATATCTGTGCTATTGACAGCCCTAGTAAGCCAATACGCCCTGGGCCATAGCATTCTTAAGATCTGAACTTTTGATCCAATTTTTATTCATGCCCAAAACAAAGTGGTGTTGGTTTGGTTTCAGTTTCTGATATATTTTATCACGTTTTTTGGGTCAGTTGTTAGTTGGTTTGAAGCAATTATACAAGAGATCTAGCCAATTTATGATTTTGCAAAATTAAATTACTGCCATGCCAGCAAATGCGATAAAACTGTAAGGGGTAACAAACTGATAATCACATCATCACTTGGAATTCTCTTTGCTTTGTTTTAATATATAATTTTATTTTGAGTGAAGGTGGGGTGGTTGTGAATTGTGTGGGGGGTGGGGGGGTTTCAATGATATACCCAATAGTTAAGATTTAGGAAACCTTAATCTTACCCATCATTGGCCGTTGGATGTTATACTAGCAATTTTTGGTTGTGATAGATGATTAGATGGAACCGATATTTATTTTAGTTATGTAAATATTGAATTGGAAACTAGAATAATTTATGAAAAGCTTGAAAAATGGAAAGAAACTAGACTATTCCCTAAATCTGCCACATTTAGAGAAACTCATAACTATAATAGAAGGCAAAACAATTATCCCAGCAACTAGTGAATAGTCATATAAATTAATTGTAGCATTGCCATACTAAACTAGAATGCCTATTGGGCCATGGGCCAAATGGTCCAACCATGGCTTGACTCAATGATCCATGACATCATAAAATAATGTAAATAGCATACGAAGCAATACCAACTGGTGCAATTGTGTTTGTTTGAACTTTCCAAGGAAAGAATTAGGGGTCTGTTTAGTTTGCAGGAATAGGGGTCAGGAATTGGAATCTGGTTCCAACCGATTGGTTGGGTGAATTGGAATCCCATTCCACTAGGAATGACATTCCCCCATTTCAAGGAATGGCCATTCCTTCCCCCTCCCTCAGGAATAGGAATGGCAACAGGGTGAATTTGGGGTGGGGATCATATTCTCTGTCATCAACTCCAATTCTGAAATTAACCCCCATCCCCGTCCCTGATCCCCGTTGTGGATAAAATTTGTCTTCCATCCCTAATGTTCGACAGGGATGGGTTTCCCATGAGACCCGAATCCCCGAAATATTTTTAGATAACAATATTTTTTTAAAAAACAAAATTACTTAAAATAAATAATATTTTAATATATATATATATATAATCGGGGTCGGGGACCACAATCCCCACCCCAACCTCGACCCGGCCAAGGATTCCTATTAATCCCCGTTCTCGTCCCCACCCCGCCAAAACAATCCCCATCCCCGACCCCATCAGGTCAAAGAAGTCGGGGATGGAGAAAATTGCCATCCGTACTCGGAAATGAGAATCCACTCCAACTTATTCCAATTCCAATTCCCATATAAACCAAATAGGTGGGGGGAATGAATCATTCTGATGAAACCCTAGCTATGCTTATGTTTCTCAATGTCTTCAGTCCAACGAACTCTCTCTTTCTTTCTTTCACTTCTTGCCATATAACCCTAAGCCTTAACCATCAAAACCCTAGGGCATCTGTGTTTCTCAGGGTCCGTTTGGTCATAGTTGGAATCAGAATCAGAAGCGAAATGGTCTATTTCCATAATCCGTTTGGTTCAGGAATGAAAATAAAATTAAAATCAATAGGAATGAGATTTCATCCCCAAGGGAGGGGCAGGGAATGGCCATTCCCTCAAAAAGGGAATGCCATTCCAGCATGAATGAAAATGGGATTCCGATTCTGCCCAACTAAACATTATTCCGATTTCAATTCCAGACCACTATTCATGCGAACCAAATGGGGCTGCCTCAATGTTTTCAGCCTAACTTCCCTCTCAAAGCCTAACTTTGAAAACCCTCGGCATCTGTTGAGGTATTTTCTGCTCCCTCTTTGTTGGACTCTGTTGAGGTCCTTGCCGTTTCAATATACATTTTTTTTTAAGCTCTAACAACCCTTGAACATGGGGGGACACTTTAAACCCTAAAGAATTGAAAGGGCCATTTTATCCTCAAACTATGATGGAAATGGCACTTTAAAACCAAAATAGACTATATTAGAAATGTCGTTGACAGCTCTATTAGAAAATGAATAAAATAATAAAAATGCTAATGTAGCACTACTCAAGTAAAAAAAAAGGGGAAATTAAAGGTGACAATTTTAGAGGACATGCTTTTACTAACATTTTTTTTTCAAAAAAAAAAAATATATTGATGCCATTTACCATTCTTAGTTGTAATGCCTCATCGTTATGAGATGGTCTTGTGTTTCTAACCAAGAAAATGTTCAATGCATGGTTTTTAAAAACTAATCGGTGACCGAACTGGTCAAGAGTCGGTTACTGGTTCAAATAGTCCGACCGTTCTGGCAAAAAAATTAAAAAATTTGAAAAACAGTCAAAACCGTTCAAACAGTTCGAACAGTTCGAACGGTTAACCAGCTGGTTCAACGGTTTGCTGACCAAAATTAACGGTTTTAAAGGAAAACAGAAGCGGTCAGGTGATCAATTCCCGGTTTTTCCAGTCCGACCATCCAGTCTACTCCGGTTTTGAAAACCATGGTTCAATGGGCATTTATGTGTATTTTAAAATAGGAATGAATTTGCTATTGGTTTATATGTACTTCCATTGGCTTGGCAAACTTATTTCCAATCATCACATAGGGTACACTTTTGTTATAATGCCATTTACTTTCTTGATTACAGATGGTTAAATCGTGGATCCAAAATCTTAGCTTTTATGAATCTTTTCATTTAGATTTGGCCTTAATTTCATCATGGATTACCAAAGATATGGTCTAGGGAATAAGCCTATGTAGTTTATATGTAATTCCATTGTCTTGTTTATTTCCAATGGAAAGAAATTAGACTATTCCCTAAATCTGCCACATTTAGAGAAACCCATGACTAGAATAGATGGCAAAACAATTATCCCAGCAACTAGTGAATAGTCATATAAATTAATTGTAGCATTGTCATTCTGGGATTAAACACAAAACTGGAATGCCTATTGGGCCATGGGCCAAATGGTCCAACCATGGCTTGACTCAATGATCCATGACATCATAAAAGAATGTAAATAGCATACGAAGCAATACCAACTGGTGCAATTGTGTTTGTTTGAACTTTCCAAGGAAAGAAGGGGCTTGTTTAGTTTGCAGGAATAGGGGTCAGGAATTGGAATCCGGTTCCAACCGATTGGTTGGGTGAATTGGAATCCCATTCCACTAGGAATGACATTCCCCCATTTCAAGGAATGGCCATTCCTTCCCCTCCCTCAGGAATAGGAATGGCAGCAGGGTGACTTCGGGGCGGGGATCATATTCTCTGTCCTCAACTCTGATTCTGAAATTAACCCCCATCCCCGTCCCTGATCCCCACTGGAGATAAAATTTGTCCTCCATCCCCAATGCCCGACAGGGATGGGTTTCCCATGGGACCTGAATCCTCAAAATGTTTTTAGATAACAATATTTAAAAAAAATAAAATTATTTAAAATAAATACAATTTTAATATATATATATATATAATCAGGATCGGGGACCACAATCCCCACCCCAATCTTGACCCGACCACAATCCCCGCCCCAACCTCGACCACTTTTGTTATAATGCCATTTACTTTCTTGATTACAGATGGTTAAATTGTGGATCCAAAATCTTAGCTTTTATGAATCTTTTCATTTAGATTTGGCCTTAATTTCATCATGGATTACCAAAGATATGGTCTAGGGAATAAGCCTGTGTAAGATTCAAAGCATCTYTGATTCAAATACACAATTCTTTTCAACCAGGCTCTCGTGCTGCTTGGACTCCTCCAAATAGTGCCACAATTCTTTTCATTTAGATTTGGCCTTAATTTCATCATGGATTACCAAAGATATGGTCTAGGGAATAAGCCTGTGTAAGATTCAAAGCATCTYTGATTCAAATACACAATTCTTTTCAACCAGGCTCTCGTGCTGCTTGGACTCCTCCAAATAGTGCCACAATTCTTTTCATTTAGATTTGGCCTTAATTTCATCATGGATTACCAAAGATATGGTCTAGGGAATAAGCCTGTGTAAGATTCAAAGCATCTYTGATTCAAATACACAATTCTTTTCAACCAGGCTCTCGTGCTGCTTGGACTCCTCCAAATAGTGCCACAATTCTTTTCATTTAGATTTGGCCTTAATTTCATCATGGATTACCAAAGATATGGTCTAGGGAATAAGCCTGTGTAAGATTCAAAGCATCTCTGATTCAAATACACAATTCTTTTCAACCAGGCTCTCGTGCTGCTTGGACTCCTCCAAATAGTGCCACTGTACCATCTCCAAGTGATCTATTTCCTCCTATGGAGCCTCAAATCTCCATGGCTACAACAAGAGCTCTATCTGTTTTTTTTTTTTTGTTAAGAACTTATGATAATGCATCTGTGAAGTGCATTGGATGCATGAGCTCAATTCCTGAAAAAATGCTAAAATCTCGTCTCTAACCAAAGAGCCAAATCTAGATGAGCCTGAAAACTCAAATGGTTGCTTCATTACCTCCTCTAAATGTGGCACCTATCCCTGAATTTCCAGGGATTTCTTAGAGAGCAGTCATCAAAGTTTTGGTCAATAGGTAACAAAGATACCTGCTTTTTTCATAGAATTTCACAGTTAAGAGATTGTTGGCTTGGAACAATGTAGAATCTTATAAAAAATAAAAAAAGAAAATGTAGAATCTAATCAGCTTCCAATTAGAAGCGTATTGTCACGGGGGTAGTTCTGCCTGTGTCAGACCGTAACAGTATGGCATCAGAAAATTGCATGGAAAGAGTTTCACAGGATAACAACAGCCAAAAGTGAATAATTAAACTGCCAACACCATAAGTGGCGACTCTTTTAGGGTTTTGATGTAAAAGGACCCAAAAAATAACTCCCTGAGGAATATTAACTAGAGTTCATCTATGGATTGCTTGGGATGGGTAGTAAGACATAAGCAATTATAATTAGAGCATACAGTGTCACCGTTTGCTAAACCATAGCACCAAATTTCTAATGATGCTCAGCAGCCAATGATAACACTTAAAACTGATACATGGCATTGCCCTTAATATTTGGATGTTATTCATGATACTAAGCTTATTATCCAAGTGAGAATTGCAATACCTGAATTAAAGATTTTGATGAGCCCATGTAAATTTTGCAGAAAATTTTGAATTGGGATAATTGAGAAATGATAGTTTTTATCTGTGCTATACATTTCTTGGAAACATCTTTTTTATCATAATCTAGTATTGCAAAAACCTGATCAATTTGATACGGGTTCAGTGTCTCTCTCTTAGTTTCTTTTCAGGTTTCATCTAATAAGTGATTTGTCAATTTGTTGCCAGGTAAGGGATGAACTGGAACACTTGCTGGATGATGATGAAAATATGGCTGAGATGTATCTGACTGACAAGATTTGCAACAATGTCTGTGAGTAATCGCTTATTTGGTGGTGGGTAAACCGTTGAAACTCTGCCGCTTTTTGATGAAATAACCTAGAGCATACTTAATTTTTTCTTTGATTGTTTTGTTGAGTAACTCACAACTAATTCATTGTAAGTAGTAGAAATCACTGATTGCAGATTTAGTCGAATTTCTTGTGAAGGGAAAGAGGAGGAAGATGAAGATTTCAGCAGTAGACAAGAAAAGAGAAGGAGAAAAGAGTAGGAAGTCAATCAGGATTCTTAGATTAACCCTAGCCGCCAACCCCTCATTATATTATACTTAACTTAAAGGATGAGATATTACAAGAATGCCCTTAGTAGGGTGGCTACTAATGTAGCTGAACAGTCACAACTTAAAAACATAAAGTAATGGGCCTAAAGCCCAACAACTTCCTAACTAAATAACTTAAAATAATAAAAACAACTAGGCCCAACTCAACATAAGTTTTTCAGGATTCCTGTTGAGATTTCATCTGAGGGAAATGAGGTTCTCCATAGTTGCATACTTTGTGCAGATTAATGGTACACTACACCGGAACCTGGGCTATGTGTGGGATTAAGATTGATACATTATTTGTAGCCAATTAATAGCATTTTCAGTGATCTAATTTATGATATTCTAAGTTCCATAGATAAGTGAATTTACTCAGTAAAATAAATTTCAACAATAATATGCAGATTTTTATACCTGTCCATGAACATGTTTTTTTTGATAGATGTGCCATAAACAAGTTGATGCTTTGATTTCTGTCCTCTTTTTAATTTTTGTTGTCTTTTTCATACAACACATCAGAAGATTGAACCTGGTCCAAATTTTCATTTGTAGTAAATACAAAGGATCCCGACCAATCCTTATATTCCAAAGCTTTAAACTTTGAATTTTTCTTGTCATTGCCCTATGCCCTCTCCTAGATCAACAATCACCAGTTGACTACCATTATTGGACTGTCTCCGACACCCACCCTTTTCCCCTCCCTCTTCTGTTCATCCATCCTTCTCCTTTGACTATAATGGATAAAAGATTGTTGGTGGGCAGTCCAACCCCCACCCAAAGGTCCCCACCAAATCCAATATAACAGCCAACAGGCTTCCTCTTTACCTCCAACAAAGACCCTGGCATCCTTTATTCAACACATAATGATAATCTACGCAGCTCTATCCCTTCCAATCTCTTTCTGACACACCCATTTCTAAAGGTTTGTCACCTGTTCTGAACACTACATAATCTCTGCTAACTTGCCTCCTTATCACTTTGGAAGGTTTATCTGTAATTTTCTCCTGCTAGTAGACCTGTTCATGGGCCGGGTGGCCCGACAGGCCGGCCCGGCTCAGCCCGACCCCCGAACGGGCTTGAACATGCTTATAGGCCCACGGGCTTAAAGTCGGGCCAAAAAGCCCAGCCTGCAATAAATTCGAGCCGGGCTCGGGTTTTGTCAAAATAGCCCGGCCCGGCCCGACCTAATATTAAAGTTAAAATTAGTTATGTGATTATGTCCATTTGAATAAATTTTTTGATTTAAGAATGTAAAATTGTGTTTTAAAATATAAAAGAAAGGGAAAAATACCATCTTGTAGGCCCATTGTTCATTTAAATAGAAAAAAAAATACTATCTGAATTTTTAATTCTAATTTGAATATGAAAATTGTTTTTTTTTTCAATTAGGTCGGGCTTCGGGCTCGGGCTCGGGTTTCGGGCTTTTTACCAGGGCCGGGCTCAGGCCCAAGTTATAGGCCCGTTGGTCGGGCCGGGCTCGGGCCTAGTATATTTTCATTAATGACAAGTGAAAGCCCGGCCCGAGCCCGGCCCATGAACAGGTCTACCTGCTAGCACTACTCTAAGGATATGCATCTATCCATTCACTTCAAGTTCCAAAAAGTTTGTCATGCCCCCTATCCTCCAACACCAAATCAGTAGCCACAGCGAGTCTACAGATTTCCAACTCAGATTCTCTTCATACACAGCAATGAAACCCCCTAGTGCATTTCCTATTATGACAAAAGTGGCTTTACACCAGACACTCAAAGGAACACCATGATTAATGACCCATCAACAGACAGCCTTGCGGTATTTTTATCAGTTTCAGTCCCGATTTCCATATGTTGAAATGGAACCTATGCCCCTCAGAAGACTGGTACTCCCAATACCACCAATGATTCCCTAGTAGATCCCATGACTTTGTGCGACGAGAACCCAGAAATGGTTCATTGACCACAATTTACTTCATAAGAATAGGATTCGGACTAACTCACCATACTCAATAACCCTTCCCGATACCTATTTATAAACATTAATGTAGTACAAAAGGGACAAATAATGGAAGGAATTAAACCAAACAGAAATCAACTAATACCAAACAGTTGAAGAAAGAACTGAAGATGAAAAATACCAAAGATAATCCCTCTCTTTCTCTCTCTCACCCTCTATTCCCCTCTTGAAAACACAAATTATATCTCTACATCAAACTTGAGGCTTACTTACACTACATACAACCAAGTGACAGCTCCAGATGAACTGCAAACATCACAGCTTATACCTCTAGCTAGAGAAGTACAATTGTTTACTATAGATCACTTGCAAGCTCCAAATATGTAAACCAACCTCCTTGAAAAAGAAGACATCCACTTAATTTACTTATTGACTAAGCAACTTTTTTTTTCTATTTTTTTTTTTTTTATTTTGCTCCATGGGGCTAGACAACGGGGTATCCCACCCCCCCAACACTGGTGCAGGCGGGATTTGATCCCAAGTCTCCACTATAACCAGCCAGAAACCTTACCAACCAACCAATTGGCACTTTTCAGTAACCTGGTTGTTTGTCATTAGGACAGGGAGAGGTATGGTCTTGAACATCCAGAGTGGATTACTAGATCAGTCAATTCTCTAGCTAATATGGTCTCAAGAGAATGTGCCATGAAAAGCTAATTCTACTTTGATTGTCTCATTGAGATTATTTCCCATATAATGGACCGAACCAAGATCACTAAATGGTCCTGGATTCTAACTCTAGGTAATTGGACTTTGTAATTGTAACTTTGTTACATTATCATAATTAATGAAACCAACAAAACCATCATAATGTAAGGAACTAGGGATTCCGGTTTCACTAATTGTAATATTACAACCTTTTGTCCTGTCGTATGATAATCTTATGCTGGATTTTAGTTTCCATAAGAAATAACCAAAACGAGAGCAAAGGCTTCCTTTCAATCTAGTTGAGAATGATATACCATATACACACAACCAAGCTGAAGCACCCGGAGAGTTACCCCAAAAACTAAAAGACTAAGTTGGGTGAAGCTCTTGACAGCCCAAAAGTGAGGCAGACTGACCCAAGATTATGTTTTTAGACCGCACCTAGGCTTATATATGTTTCATGTCTAAGACAATTCCATTTATGTAGATTCAAACTCAAATCCAAAAAAAATCCTCCTGATTTTTCAAAGAACAAATAAGTTGGTAAATATTTTTTTCTTTTCAGTATAAACTGCTAAAGAATAAGCTTCCTAGTTTGCTGTACATGTGCAATGTTAGTTGACAAAATTTGGGAAATATTCCTCAAAATAAAAGCAAATGAAGTGTTGAACAGGAAAAAAAGGCAAAGAAAGATACTTGAGTATAAAATTGTAAATTGTTAAAGAACTAAATAGGAGACCTAATATAAGCAAGCTTATGAATTAGTCTAATTTCCCTGTTCCTAGTCAAAATATCCGGCTCATTCTCTAAGAAAACCCACCTAAGCCTGTGAACATGAAAGATGCAGTACATATAGTTCACTGCTATCATCATAACCTATATTTTCAGAACTAGAATGAACCTTCCATTAAATGGCCTTCATTTCATCCATAGTTTTTCACCAATGAAGATATATCCACACTGATGGAGTAACATAAAGGGACTTGATTGAGTTTTTGTATCTCAATAAACTTCTCACATATGCTCCATCTAGAATTTTAGATTAACAGTCAACTAAACCTTGTACTCTCTTCAACCATCTCTACTTTTTCTTGATAAATAACCGCTTCAATTATCTTTACATGCACCAAATAATTTAAGAACCCAGACTCTTTTGAGAGCAACCATAGCCAAATAGTTCCTGAACTATTGGTGGCAAGGTCTTTTCTTTTGCTAATTGCGGTCAGATTAAGTGGGACTCCACCACAAAGGAGATTTTAGACCCAACTACCTAACCAGATTCCATTTACTTCAAGGAGAAAGAGTGCCACCCCTATACTTTTGCAATAATACTGTTATAGAACTTGAACTCTAAATTCATTTGATCCTTCAAATGAGTCACATTACTTGTATATTTTGATTATTAAATGCCTAAGTCAGTCACATTAAGTGGCTGCTAATTTCTTCCAAAAGGATTTGACATATCCCTATGATTTATTGCCTTGTAACTACAAATTCTGCTCCAATACTGTCATTTACACCACTGAGCCCAACTATACTCTGGGCCAAAGCCAAACCTGATAAGGACCATAAATAAGACTGCAATATTTAGTGTTACAATTCACCGAAGAAGTATCAACCTATCATTTATCCAATCATAATGTTCTACCTTTTCATGTTGCTGATAAAAAAAAAATTGTTCTTCTCAACTGCCAAAACGAATTCAAACCCCAAATTCAGTTGTCCATACCTCAATTCAACTAATAAAATAATTGTCTCCTCAATAGCCTTTAAATGTAAATGCCACTCTCTCAAGGTTTCCTGTGAAATGTCTTCAATGGAATCCAACGCAAGAAGTTCTAAGAATCAACTTCCACACAGACATGCAGTAAGAAACATAAACCATAAGCTAAAATTTCTTCCATGAACTCCGCTACAATTACAAGCAATGAAACAATGTTTTAAACAAAGCAACAAGTCGTAGCTTCACAAATCTTCCGAAATCTGACAATCTCTAAGATATTAAACCCTAGATAACAGCTGACAAAAAGTAATTCATGCGGAAGATGAACAGTGAAAGGCAAGCAATGATAGTAGGTATAAGCAATTTACATTCTCCAACCAAAAATTGAGAAGAAGAAAAAGATATACATGTACACAGAAACAAATTAGCTTGATATTAAATTTGAATTTGTACACCACAAAGGAGAAGTTCTCAACGGTGGCGAAGAGCCACAACATACCTCTAACTTATCACGAAACTGCTTTTCGCTCGTCTTTAACATTACATGAAGAGGAAAGCACACGCCTTTCTCTACACAAGCTCGGTGCCTCGGCTTTATCCTATTCTCCAAACTAAACGAGAAATACTGTGGAAACTCCTTCAGTTCCTTCAAATCCCTCCCCATCTCCATCACAAAGTAATCGAATTTCGGCTCCAAATTATCCTTAATGCTGTAACAGAACATCTGCGGAAACCTCCTCACCATCGAAATGGCGTCTCGGTACGAAAACCCAATTCTCTCCAAGCACTCGATCCTCGGGATGAATTTCTCCTCGACGCTGCACGACAGCAGGGAGGTGTGCTTATCGACCTCTTCAATTCCGATTCTCTGCAGAAAGTAGAGCGTCGGACGGAGCCGCTTCTCAACGTCGCAGGCGAGTAATCTGGGTCGTCGATTTATGACTCTACGAAGATTGGAGGCCTTGACATTGACCTCTCTAAGGAGGAAGGCGAAGACGGGGGCGATCTCGGTGACCCGGGAACTGAGAATCTCCGGGCACATGCCGCAGATTCGGCGGAACTCGATAGGAGTGAATCCCATTGACCGCATGTAATCCACGGTGGATTTGATATTGTCCAGCGATGACGAAACGATAGGAGGGTAACCGTCAACGAGGGAGAAGAGGTCGATGCCGATGGACTCCAAGTAGAGCATCTTCTCTCGAAACTGACAGTTTGGGTCGGTTTGGGGTTCGGAGTGAGGTTCAGGGGGAAGGTCATGTTGCGGGTGAGGGGTTAGGGGATGAAATTTGGAGGTTTTGGAGGGTTTCTTGGGGAGGGAGATGGAAGTCTTGGAGGAGAGGATGGAGGAAGAGAGGGGTCTTACTCGGGAAATTGAGGGGAAATGGAGGTGTGAGGAGGGAAAATAGGGTTTGAGAAGAGTTCGGACGCCATTGTTGTAGCAGAAATGGAGGGTTTCTTCCATGGTTTCTACATGGCTGGGTTTGTAAGGACAGTTTTTCTAGTTGGCAGAGTTTTAAAAACTATATTGTTTTTGGAAGGGATAAGGCTTGGAAGGAAATTCGAAAGAAGACGATCAGAGAATCTAAAATCCATTGAGAGTAGGATAAAGGGGGAGGGAAAGTGTTTAAAGGCATTTTGGTCACTTACTGATATTCGAGGGCTTTTTCGACTTTTACCTTAAGAGCAAGACAAGGTTGCCGACTTTCCTACGCCGCGCCGCTAGGAGGTGTATATAGGCCGGGCTTGGCAGGTTGGTGTAGCTGTTTAGGGGCCGGGTAGTCCGGCTGGGTTCAAGTATATTTCGAGACCTGCAGGCTTGGGCTCTCTTTTTCATGGGTTTCTCAACCAGTTATATCATTAAGAATGTTACTGATAGTTTTGATTATTTATGTTTCTTTCATGTGCACAAATCTTTTACATACTTTGGCTATAAAGTTTTGGAGAATTCACCATGAATTAGTTTGGATTACTCCCCTTGATGTAGTCCTTGACCTTTTTAGCAACTGAAAATTTAATTGCAGCAAAAAAATAAACACAGCCCGAGTCTTAGCTATATATATATAGGTAATGATTTGTATTTGTGTGTGATATTTTTTTTTTAAATTTATCTTATTTTTTTATATGCAAAATGTGTAATTGGATGAGAACAAACTAAAAACATATGGAATTAAAAGATATAACGTACACGAAGTTTCAGGCTCGAACTCAAGAATAAGCCCAATAGTCAGGTCAGACATTTTCTATTGATAGACCTAACGTACAGGTCTATTGGTCAATGCTTTCTTAGCCAACCTGTTTAATAATGGCCCTCCAAGTTAAGGCTAATCAAGCTGACGAGTTAGAAGATGAAACCAATCCCAAGCCTTATAACAAGTTTGAATAATTAAGGTGCAATTTGGGGAGGCCCAACCCAAGCCCGGACCAATCCAATTCAAAATTGTACACGGGCTGGTTTAGATTTTCAATCCTCACGTCAGGCTCAAGCCTAGCCCTTATGTAACTTGAACTTAGCCTGAGCCCGTTACCTTATCTTAACCGGAGCTCAGCCTAGCTGTATACGTACATATATGTGTGGCTACCCGAATTGGAGGAAGATGTAATAGAATATGGATGGATTGGAATACCCCTAAATTTTTGAGAAATGAGAATTTAGGGAAACTCAAGATTTCCATTCGTTGTTCAACGGGAATGAGATTCTTAAGGTCTAGGGTAGAGGTGCTCACGATTCAGTTAATCGAATTATGGGCCTTTTTTTGTAACTGAATTAGTACTATTGGTTTTTGAAAAATCGGTAACTGCAATCAGTTAACTGTCGGTTTTTTAATTTTTACAATATATATTATATATATAATAGAGAAATATATGTATACCGGTGGTTTGATTAACCACCGGTTTTCTATATTAACTAATTGAAACCAAACCAGAACCTTTGGTTTTTAAAAACACCAAACCGACCAATTCAATTAACTGATATTTTGGCTCAGTTTCAATCGGTTTTTTGATCGGTTCATTTTTTTTCCTTGCCCCTAATCCAGGAAGGAAGGTATGGTGTGGGAAGGTATTAGACACCCCACATGTGCCTGATTAACTGCTACACCAATGTTCCAAAGAATATATTTATAATTTTTGGGTTAAAATTAGAATAAGAAAAACAACACGTTCTGAAAACATATCAAAATTAAAGCACTCATTTGTGAGATTGAAACAAGGATACAAAATAGATTTAAAGCCAAGAAACTAAAGACAATGAAACGAAGAATGCAAGTCTAGATAAATAATCCAACTACAATAACTATAACTTTTGCGAGATGATTAAAAACAATAGACAATAACAATTCACTAAGTGGATGGAGTAACTGATTAGGATACCTAACAAGAGACGACATGCAAATAATATATCCTGATTCCTGCAACGAAGTGAGTAGCTAAACTAGCACGAGAATCCTTGGGTGTGCAAAATAAGAAGCCATTAGTCAACCTACGATAATGAGTCTCTTCTTAAACTAGACGAGATATTTTAGTCGGAATGACAACTATCCTAGGACTTTGATGAAGTAGAAAACAAATCAAAATGAAGGGGTCTACTTTTCTTAAAAATACACCTGATTATGGTTATAAAAAATGGGTGAAATGCAGCTATGAACTCCCGAATACCTCGAGAGGGAGCTCCCCTGCAACCCCTTCCCCTCTGTCTTCTCTAGTTTCTTTAGCCATAGCCCCCCTTCGGCGGGAAGTGGTCGTACTGAGGGAAAAGGTAGCCTCGGGGGGTGCTGAGGAAAGCCATCGGAGGAACAACTCTCCTCATGAAAACGCTGCATTGGCATCACCGAGGGAGCCCCGAAGGGTCTCCTCTCTCTGAGGATGATGTCGTGGAAGTCGTCGCCGGACTGGTGGGAGGGAGTGCTTCCAGAAGGGTGGCTGACACTAGTGTTTCGCATTCAGATTTTGATAGCTCCTTGAACGTGGGCCAGGTCAAATCCCTAGCGAGGAGGTTCCACATACCCCAGTCTTATGACCTAAGGGTCCCCGATGTGGGCGATCGGCCGTGGACCCTCGAGGAGGGGGAAATCTGTTTCTACCAGCATTTTTTCGAGTCTGGCCTTAGGTTTCCCCTCCCTTCTTTAATCTCTGAGTTGCTGGAGTGGTACGGTATCACTATCAGGCAGCTCGTACCCAACGCCATTAGGACCATCATAGCGATGATAGTGTGGGCTTGGCTCAAGGGTGTGGAGTTGTCGTTGAGGATGTTCCGTGCCATGTTTGCGCCAAGGAAGCACGCTTCCAAGGCCAACATGTATTACTTCCACCCGTCTGTCCACGGGTGGAAGGACAAATTCTTCTACGTCTCTTGCCCCAAGGGGTGGCAGTTCAGGTCTAACTGGGGGGAGGCCTGCATCATCGTCAAGAGATGTCCCCCACCACTCTTAGATGAAGAGGCTACAGCTGTAGCTCACCTGCTTGTGATGGGGACATTCTAGGCGAAGCCGTTGGTGGAGGAGGAGGTCCCCCTAGTCTTCGCTGGGATTAGCCCAGCCCCCCTCGGTAGGATAGGTTTTGTGGTTACTTAGCACGTCTTCCACGTATTTCGCTTTAATGTACTAATTGTTTTCTTTTGCTGTTTCGTAGAAGTGCCCATTGACGCCAAGCAGCGTTTGTTGGAGAAGGCCCGGGCAAAGTAGGCCGGGAAGAAAGTCGGAGGACAAACGCCGAAGCGTCTCGGTGATGAAGTTACCCCCTACCCCGGTGAAGGGGGAAATCCGCAGGTCCCTGCTATGGGGAAGTAGCCGGTGGTGGCACCCCAGGAAGTCACCGGTGGGGTGAAGAGTCCTCATAGGGGGGGCCAAAAAGCTGACAGAGGCGCCGAAGAAGCCAGACATTGGGACCGAGGCACCAAAGAAGCCTACACACGGGCCCGAGGCGGGTAAGAAGAGGCCCGCAATAGATACGCTGAGAGAGGAGCCGCCGCGGAAGGTAGCCAATACAGAGAGAGGCCGAGGAGGTGTTGCGGAGGTCCACGCCTAGGGAGCGCCCATCCGGGCCTTCATCAGCCCCTCCATCAGTACAGGGGCTCCTCGAAAGAGCCGAGGGGGCCGGAAAGATCTTCCGCCCGCAGTGGCAGCTCCGAGAGGGGGACTCCATTCAGGATGAGGGGGTTAGCCAGGAGCTGGTGAGCGGGGCCATCCTACCGAGGGATCGCTACCGCCTACTACAGAGAGACCCCAAGGCCATCTACGACGAGGGCCTGTACCACTTGGATGAGGTAAGTTGATTTTTGACTTTGCGTTTCCTTCTCTCCGTACCCTTTCGTTTGCTAACTGGTTTTGTTGTAGGCTTGCCTGCATTTTGTTGCTTTGGGGGACCGAACGAGGCTGGCCATGTCTCGTATTGACAAGGCAGAGAAGGAGAAGAAGTCCGCTGAAGAGAAGCTCCAGAAGGAACGGGAGAAGTTCCAGAAGGCAGTTGCCGCCACTGAGGATCAAATACCAGAAGTTCCAAAAGGTGTTCCTGGACGAGCAATCAGTTTGGGAGCGCCTTGAGATTCAGATGAAGGAGGCGCGACAAGGGCTCTCCAAGGAGCAGATGGAGAGGGTCCGTTTGGAGAGCATTGTCACTGAAGCGGAGAGATGGGAAGCCGAGGCCAAGAAGAAGGCTGCTGAAGCCACGACCTCGGCAGAGCAATTAAAGAAAGCAACGGCAAAGGCGGTGGAGGTGTACAAGAAGTCCTCTGATTACTTGGACGCGCTGGCGAAGTATGCTTCGTCTTCCTACCTCGATGGCATCGAAGATACGAAGAAGGCGCTCCTACTGGTGATGCCAAATTTTGACGTCGAGGGGCTGCAGGTGATCCCCGATGCTCCCAGCGAGGCCCAGCCTGTCGAAGACTTTGTTCCCCTTCCTGCTAATGGCGAGGCGCAGGCATAGATTCCCCCTCCTTTTTGTTCAGTTACTGTAGTATTTTGTTGTTTTTCTCTTCTCTTTTTTATTGTGAATGTATATACGCTTGGCCTACGAGGCCTTAACAGACTTTTTGTAAAGGCAATACAAAACAAGAATTAAACAATGAATGAAGCCATTTTTTGTATTCAATGCACTTTGTGTATGTTGTCTTTCTTCTTTCTCTTCTTTCTTCCTTTTCTTATTCCTTCTTCGAGAGGTCTTTGCCCCTCCGAAAAATTAGGACCACGGCACACAAAGCACCCAATTTGCTCATAGTGTACGTTTATTTGCATGCTCGTATCAAGTAATTGGGGTGTTGGGAGCCGAGGCAAGGCTCACCCGGCTCCCGAATTCCTAAAGTGTCAACTTAGGCAAGGCCGAAGGGACCTAGCACTGTGGCCGAGGTATGTCGTTGAGGTACTTGGGGAGACAAAGAGCCGAGGTGGAGCTACACCATCAAGGTGCAGTTCATCTAACTTGTTTTCTAACCAAGTGTTTCCTCAGGGGAGGCCGAGGTGTCCCACCAGCGAAGCTGGGGGCTCGATCTCACTATTTTCGTTGCGCTAAGTATAGGTAGCCAAGGGGGTCACCACGCTCCGAGGTGACAAGGCGAGTAGAGGCCTATTTCACCCTGGCGTGCCAAGGGGGCCACCGTCTGC